GACTGAACTTATACACAATCCTATTGCATATAACATTATTGCTCATGTGCCAGATATTAGCCTCCCAAAGGAAGCTACCACACAGGGAATAATGCAGTGGGTCAATGCAATGTAATATTGCACATCAGCAAATAAGGAGGAACAATATTGCAGATCAGCAGTTCATTGAACTTTTCCCCTGTTCACTGTTGTCTGATACAGTTTCTATCTGCTGCTGATCTGCAATATTGTTCCTCCTTATTTACTGATGTGCAATATTACATTGCATTGACCCAGTGCATTATTCCCTGTGTGGTAGCTTCCTTTGGGAGGCTAATATCTGGCACATGAGCAATAATGTTATATGCAATGGGATTGTGTATAAGTTCACTCATTTTAATATTCTTATTTTTTTGTTTTTATTATTACCCTATATATATATATATATACACACATTTCATTTACATTCAGAATGATGTTGTTTGTTGTGTTGTGCCCCACTGCTGCTGTAACAAGCCTCAGTCTTGACTCTGACTCTCCCCTTCAAGGTCTTGGCCTTAAATCACCCTCGATATAGGTGGTGTCGTCCCCGTCACCCTGACCAGGATACATGCTGGAAGATTCATGGATGGAGTTTTTCAGTGTGAAGAAAAAGAATGTGAATAAAACAAAAATGTGTCTTTATAAACAGGAGCCCTAGGATGTGTGGTGGTTAGAAATGTGGACTGATGACAATTTTGCTTCTTCAAAGTTCTGTTGTGAAAGCTGTACATTCTGTTTCATGTACAGGGTAGTGATATGTAGCAATCATGTGCTCCAGTCAAATGTCTAACTGTATGAATGATAATGGTGGCTTGTTTGGATAAAATATCGTAGGCTGAATACTTCAAAGCGTGATCTTGGTAAAGTAGAGAGGAAACAGGGTCTTACATGAAGCAGGTATTGTTCTCTCTGTGTGGTTTTTACTCTTTGCAAAAGTGAGCCCAGCACAGTGCAGTCAGTGGGTCAGTCTTCCTGTGCTGCGTCTTAGCAGTGGAAACATATGCAGCACTGCAGAGAAGCATTTAGCAGACAAACAAATCAAAATAGCTTACACCTATATGTCACTTTTGATCAGAGGTGGACAAAGTCACTTTTTACTTGAGTTAAAGTACTGGAATACTTGGATCTAAAAATACTTAAGTATTCAAAAGTACATTATGTTTTTAATGCGATACATTTTTCAGAACCTAATGACTCCTGAACACCCTCCTGAATGCACTGACTGACTTGTAGATCCTATAGAATAATAAGCTTGTGGAATATGACACAATGACTATAGAAACACAACTGACTTAACAAAAGTACAGCCATTGTCATTTTCATCTTATTATTTAAACCCCCCACCCCACCCTCACAAAAGAGCATGGTAGTGTTCTTACACAGCTCTAAATAGTGTGTGTGTGTGTGTGACTGTAAAGTAAGCAGTCTTGTTAAATGAACAGTAATGGGAATTATGCTCCCACTTTTTGTGTTTATTGTGGGAGCAGCACAGTGGCTGAGTAGGTAGTCACTCTTATGTTAGTGACTGTGTGTACATACGCGCCCTGTGATGCACATAGTTACAATACGGCTCGATATAGTTACAATATGGCTCGATATATATTTCTTTTGGTGTTTCATTAAACAGTATGACTACGTGTAAGGACCAGATGTAATAAAATAAAATGTATATAAATGAAATTAAATTAACAAGCAACCATATCCATAACGAGCATCGTGCTTCCACATGTGTGTGTGTCTGTGTGGTCCAGTTATACCTTACCTTGTGGGGACCCAATGTTTTTTTTTTTTTTTTAACCATATGGGAAAGCTCTATTTTATAAAAATCCATGCCTGCAATGAAAAAGCAAAAAAAATGCAAAAACTCTTGTATCTTGTTTGGTTACTTATGGTTATGGTTAGGGCTGGGTAGGGCTTAATGTTGTCATAGTTAGCATACCATTTTTCGCATAGAAATGAATGAGTGTTTCCCAAAAAGATATGATTACACGACTGTGTGTTTGTGTGTGTGCGTGAGCCAAATAACAAAGGAACAAAAAACAAAACTCTTTCTTAATTATCCACATCATTATTAATGACACAGTTATATATATACCGGTATATACTCCAAAAATATATACAGTACACATAATTAAATGAAAAATGTAATTTAAGAACACTTTAAATTTTCATTCAATTTCTTTAGTCTGTTTAACATCATCTATCTGTCGCTGTGTGTTTGCCCCAAACCATTCACCGTGGTATACAAGGGAGACAAGTAAGCAGTGTGGCATCAAAGAACTGATTGCAGCAACTCAGCCTTTCCACAACATTAAAGCCATTTATTCCCCCCATGCCATGAAGAAATAACCTCTGTGGCTCCCCTCTCCCCCTCCCTCAGCCCCCAGTCTGGCCTGAACATTTGCACTTCCAGTAAAAATGCATCCCAAAGACACTGACACCAAACCTAGCACTGGTGCTCCGTAAAATCCAGTGATTCAGTCTCAGAAGCACTGGCTCCCCTGCTCTCCTTCTGAACATTATTAAAGCTACACCCTGAACACTCTGTATAACTAACATGAATGAGAAGCATTTTTATTCATAATCCCTGTAGCGGAGGTCAGAATACAGAGTGTCATTATTCCCATCTTTCTTCTGTCTCCTGGGTTTTGGGTTCTTAAGGTTCAGGGCAGCGTAATTCAGTGTGTCCTCGTCATGGTACTGTGGAGACAAAGATGGCAAAATAGGATGGATGAAAATCAGTTTTACTTATATGCACAAATAGCACTTAAAATGCTGATCCCTGGATGGAAATCAGTTTGAGTTGTTTTTTTTATTATTATTATTTTTGCTTATTATTTAATATTTAAAATATTCATTACATACCTGCTTACGTGACCATTCCACTTTTGATACATCATTGTTTTTCTGATCTGTTAAAAATATATTATACATCAACATATATAATTTCACACAATATATAATTCAGTAGTTGGATAACATTCCTAAGTTTGGAGGGAATTTACACTCCTTTTTGTCACAAAATCAAAGTAAAAATGATTTCTATCAATTTCAGTGTGCATGTTTGGATATGTGTTGTTTGTTATGATATGTTACATATAGTAGAATTGCTATAAAGAATATCTGAAGAGATTTGAAATGTCACAAAAAGGAAAGGAAGGACTTGCGTAAGTTGAACGGAGAGGGGCTTTATTAGGCAAAACATTAACAGTTATGGGGAAAACAAAGTGCGACCATGAGGGATGCAAACAGGAGAACAGGGAACAAGCAGGGGAAAGGCTCAGGGTCAGACCGAGATCCAGGAAGATGAGCACAGTGACAGGCACAGTGACAGGCATATACAACGACTAACGAGGGGACAACGAGCAACAGGAGTGGCTCATTAGGGCCACACTGGGGAGGG